TCATAGAAGCACTTCATTACTAGAGGGCGCCAGTACTGTAAAATACTTTATTTAACTGGAATTAATTTTCTTGAAAAGACCTTTTGGGGTGTTTTGTATGGAATTTATTTTCACTTATTTTTGACGAGTTGAATGTAAAATATAGGAAAAAAGGTATTTTTCGCTGGATTTTATTATTCAGTGAAAATTAATTCCAAGCAAAAATAAAGTATTCTACAGTATATGAACATAACATTGCCAATTACAATGTTTGAATTTAATTACAAGTTATTGTGGTGATTCGTTAAAATTTCAAAATTATTCACAAGATTAATTTATTAAAAAAAAATTACCAAACACATTGTTTTATGCTGAGTTCCTAGCACAAGGTAATCTACATATTATTGGTGTATTCAGATTCCTTGTGTTTGAAGCTGAAGTCAGATCAAGATGTATCAACATATGTGCAAATGATAAAGAACTTTTATGCTTTATATTTCTAAAAATCGAATCTAAGTATGACCTCATGCAAAATTGAAGTATCTGTTCAAACCATGTGTGTTTTAGAATGGGTTGTCATCAAAGCTAGTGTGACCTCTGAATGATGTCAGCAAAACTAGTGTGACCTCTGAATGATGTCTGCAAAACTAGTGTGACCTCTGAATGATGTCAGCAAAACTAGCGTGACCTCCGAATGATGTCAGCAAAGCTAGTGAGACCTCTGAATGATGTCAGCAAAACTAGTGTGACCTCTGAATGATGTCAGCAAAGCTAGTGAAACCTCTGAATGATGTCAGCAAAACTAGTGTGACCTCTGAATTATGTCAGCAAAACTAGTATGACCTCTGAATGATGTCAGCAAAACTAGTGTGGCCTCTGAATGATGTCAGCAAAGCTAGTGGGCCCGCTGAATGATGTCAGCAAAACTAGTGTGACCTCTGAATGATGTCAGCAAAACTAGTGCAACCTCTGAATGATGTCAGCAAAACTAGTGTGACCTCTGAATGATGTCAGCAAAACTAGCGTGACCTCTGAATGATGTCAGCAAAGCTAGTGAGACCTCTGAATGATGTCAGCAAAACTAGTGTGACCTCTGAATGATGTCAGCAAAACTAGCGTGACCTCTGAATGATGTCAGCAAAGCTAGTGAGACCTCTGAATGATGTCAGCAAAACTAGTGTGACCTCTGAATGATGTCAGCAAAACTAGTGTGACCTCTGAATGATGTCAGCAAAACTTGTGTGGCCTCTGAATGATGTCAGCAAAGTTAGTGGGCCCGCTGAATGATGTCAGCAAAACTAGTGTGACCTCTGAATGATGTCAGCAAAACTAGTGCAACCTCTGAATGATGTCGGCAAAACTAGTGTGACCTCTGAATGATGTCGGCAAAACTAGCGCAACCTCTGAATGATGTCAGCAAAACTAGTGCAACCTCTGAATGATGTCAGCAAAACTAGTGGGGCCTCTGAATGATGTCAGCAAAACTAGCGTGGTCTCTGAATGATGTCAGCAAAACTAGCGTGACCTCTGAATGATGTCAGCAAAACTAGTGTGACCTCTGAATGATTCCTAATAGAAGTAAGAATACAGTGATAAGTCACATTGCCAATAGTTGATTTCACATTTAGCTCGGTATGCCATTTTCAACATGACAATCAATGCAAGTACATGAAAAAAAATGAACTGACAAGACTCTTGTTATTCTGGAATCTACACTTTCTGAATTTTATTTGGTATTGTTTTATACCTTAC